ATATATATATATATATATATATATATATATATATATATAAGCCTAAATAATATTATATATATTATCAAAATAATAATAAAATAAAATAAATGGTCCAAAGGTCAGAGAATAAAATTTTTACCACAGTTATCACATATTGATTGATTGATTGATTGATTGATTGATCATTAACATCCTAGACAAAATGCAAATAAATTAATAAGTAAATAAATATTTTTACAAAATGGTCAAAAGCTCAGGGAATAAAATTTGACCACAATTATAACATATTTACTTATTTATTTATCATTAAGATCCTTGGAAAAACAAGAACATTTTTATTTATTTATTTTATTTGAATTTATAATTAAGGTCCTAGAAAAAAAAAAAATTATTGTTGTATATTATATTACATATATTATGATGTATCTCGACTGGATCATTTTGATGTATGTATTTGTTAAATTTGTGAATGAATAGGGTGAGAGGGGCCTTCCTGGTCACACCGGCCCTTCAGGAAAGAGAGGTTTTAAAGGAGGAATGGGCCTTCCTGGATCTCAGGGAGACCGGGGTCCTAAAGGCCAATCTGTGAGTGCTACTCCCAGACAGAAATACACTGAAACATGCCATAAATATTGTTATTATTCACTGTGAATTCTCCTACTGACTGTATCCTGCTTACAAAGACCCAGAGTTCATCTTAGAACAAAACATTAATAGTAATCTTTGATTTAGGGTGACATCGGGGAACCCGGCTTTCCAGGGATGCTGGGAATGTTTGGACCGAAGGTGAGTTTTATCACCCATTGCCAGGTATCCCATTTAAACTGTTCTTCAGGGTGAAAAACAGAAATGTGATCGTCCATGTGCGCCTGCCCAAGAGAAACAAACAGAGATGAGATTTATCCTTTCCGAAAGAGTTCCTTCCTCTGGGAAGCGTGTTTTCATCCACACGCTCAAAAAGCATCATAATTCACGCTCAGACTGATGTGTGTTTTTGTCACGGAGCAGGATTTTCTCTGAAACCCACAGCCGTGAGCTCATAAAACAGGACAAGCGTATGTGGTTGATTCATTCAGACTCATTAATTCCTCTGGTCTAACTCAATGAAGTAGAGCTATGGAAAAAATGAAGACCACCAATGGTAGCCACACAAACACTGTGGTCCTGACGGTGATAAATAGACACGTTTAATAATGTTCCACTCCATAAACGCTCTAGTGCTCCTCATAATACACACACATTAGCATTAATGTTGGGTTAGGCACAGCTGTGTGTTTGTGTGTTTGTTCATGTGAGCTTGATGTTTGCTTGTTTATTCAGGGGCCTCCAGGAGACTTTGGACTGAAGGGCATTCAGGGGCCCAAAGGGCCGCAGGGCAGCATGGTAAGCACACACACACACACACACACACACACATATGCACACTCTCTCACACACACACACACACACACACACACACACACACACACA